AGCGACGCTCTCCTGCTCTCAGGGCCGGGGGGCTGCGCGCGCGGCGGCCGCATCCCCCGCCCCGGCGCCTCCGCCCCCGCCCCGCGCCCCGGCTCCACTGGTCTGGCGGCTGCGCCTCGGGAGGGGCGGCGAGGCCGGAGCCGCGGCGCCTGGGAACTGGCTGCCCTGCACTCGGGAACGGGCGCGGGACGGCCGGCCTCCTGTCCCCTCCCCTTTTCTCTCCTACTTCCTCTTCTCGCTCCTTCCTTCCTTCCTCCCTTTCTTTTCCCCGCGGCGGCTGCGCCCGACTGAGACAGAAACTCGCCTCCGACGCCAAAACTAAAGTTGAGAGAACCGCCCGCCCGCGCCGCTCGCCGGCCCCGCCTCCTGCCGGCTCTTCCTTCCTCCGCGCGCCCGCCCGCGCCGGATCCCGGGGCCGAGGGCACTTTCCCCCGCGAGCCGCCGCATTCCTGCAGACGCCGCCGCCGCACGTGACCGCCGCCCGGCCCGGCCCGGCCCCAGCGCCCGGGCTCCCGGCCCGCGCCCTCCGCGGAGGCCCGGCTGGGTTGGACGTCTGGTCCCCGCGGAGGACGCGGCCGCCCTGGGCCGCAGGAAGTCCAGCCCGGCCCGGCCCTTCCCGGCCGGTCCCCGGGAAGTGTCCGCAGGGCTTCCAGGTCGCCCCGGGAGGCGAATGGAGGGACAGGGCGCGCGGGGAGGTGTCAATCCGCTCCCCCGCCCGCGCGAGCTCACCCGCAGGCGGCGGAGGGCCGTGCGGGAGGAAAGCCGCGAGGACAGGTCGGGTTCGGTTGCATACCCGTGAACAGGCGCTGGTTTGGAGAAGGGTCCATTCTTTTGAACGGCAACTTGGTTTTTTTCCGCTCTGGACTTTGCAAACACCCCCCTTCCCGGGATAAACGGTCTCGGTAATTTGAAGTTTTGAGACTAGATCTGTGACTTGATGTTATGCACTTTTTAAAAAACCCACCAATGTTGCCTTTTTTAAAAAAAAAGGGGGGGGGGACTTTTTTAACACTGAAACTTGAAGCATAGACATGAAATCTCAGCGGGGAAAAAAAAAAAGTCAGTGCTTATCGGTCGCGAGGATTCCTCTGTGAACCCGCCCTCATCCTCGAGGGGACGGGAGTCCATCCCCTTATCCCTGCGCCTGGCACAGGGTGGACTCAGGGAATGTCGGCTGAGTGAGGAATGAGAGGCGCTCACCCTAGCCACCTGGTTCTCTAAGTGGCCGTGCGAGGAGTCCATTTGAAATCGTTAAAAGCAAATGAAAAAAAAAATTTTTTTTAATTCATGCATTCTGATTTTAAAAATAAGCAACTTTATTGAGATATAAGCAGGCCACAGGACTCATCCGTTCAAGCAACTCGGTGTTTTTAGCATATTCACAGGATTGTGCAACATCCCTCTGATTTTAAATCCATTCTGAAAGAAGCCTAACTTGTTTTAATGATTTTTGTCTGCAGTGCTAGTGGAGCAGATGTATAAATAGGTTTAAGCAAGAAAAGGTCCCCTGAGCAAAAAGATAATCTTCCTCCAGCCAGGACATGCCCGGGAGAGTTCTGAGGAAGGCTCTGTATCACTTGGTGTGTGTGTGTGTTGGGGGGGGGGGGGGGGGTCCCGGGAAGAGGCTGGGCCCTCCAGATTCTAAAGGAGGGTTCTGCTCGGCCGCTCTGGGCCCCAGTTCCAGCTGAAGAAAGGGATTCCCCCTTGTGAAGCCCCCCATGCTCCTTAGGTTTATCTCCACCCCATACCAAAATGTTAAGTGCATTTAACCATAAGCGTGTAGGTTCTGGAGTTACAGAGATTTGAGTTCAGATCCCAGTTCCACCATTTACTAGCTGTGAGACATTGGACAAGTTACCTAATACCTGTTCTTTAATTTCTTTAACATTGTGGTCACCGGTAAGAACAGCCACTTCATCTGCTGAGGCATTAAATGAGTCAGCGGACATAAAATACGTACTTAGCTCAGCTTTTGGCCTATAAGCTCTGCATAAATGTCAGCTGTCATTGTCCAGGTCCACAGTTTACTTCCCATGTAGTGACATGGCCTCTCTTTTGCAGCAACTTCTCCCGCTTCCCCCGGGATCCTGTCGGCAGTCCCTTCCTCTCATGTCCAGTAATCAACCCACACAAAGCCTTTGGACAGAAACTATGCATTAAAAACTTCAACTGAAAAACAAACTCGAAGAACCAAAGTGATTACAAACCTGGGGTTGTAATGCAAGCTGTCCCTTAACTAGAGCATTTACAACTATGAACACTATAATTAAAGGGCTTAGGGTGCAGCAGAGGTTGCTTTGTTCAATATTGTTTCACCTGCCATTAAAATGAGAACAAAATTGCTTTGATAAGTGGATTAAAAGGCTGTTTGGAGTGATTTTATGTTCTGTAAGCACTGCTGAAGCATCAACCAAGATTTTGTAATTTACTATTTCTCATCTATAAAGTTTCAATCACAGGTTAGTGTTGAATAACGATAACATGTATTCAATCCTTTGCCCCTCTCCTCCTTTCCAGCCCCACTTTTGGAGCAATTATCAATGTAAGGCACCTTGAAATAGGGAGTTGCTTTCTTCAGACAAAGACCCACCATTTTCCTGGGTCATTTTCAATGTCCATGGAGATCACTATCTCAAAACGCTGGTCTCGCAATGACTTGACTTCTCAGCTACAATGGACCCTCATCTCCACTCCACTTCAGTCACCTACTCCTATGTCCACACCCCATCATTGTCCAGAAATACTTCAGCTATGAAATCAAACTAGGTTATACTATTCTCTCAATAACCATTTGGTTCTCTGGTTTCATTACTCACCCCTCATTTATTATTAACCTCTCTCTTTCCCACCAACCTATCACTCCTGTTTTCCTTTCTTTCCCAATTCAGTTTAGAAATCATAACATTGCTTCAACCTCTCTTAGTCATCTATGGCCTCAATTCCATTGCCTCATGTATTTCAATGAATCTTTTAAACTGAATTAATCCAGTCATCTGTCTTTTCCATCCAATATCCAAGGCTTATGGGGGCCTGGGCCCCACATTTAGACATTTTGTCAAACTGAGATTATACTATCATCCCAGAGATCTACACCTGCACCAGTACAAGAAGGCATTCATTGTAGAACTTTAAACTTTGTCCTGTTACCAAAGGACACTCTTTAGTGCATTATGAATTAATGTTTTAAGTAAATTCTGTAATTATCTGGCAAATAGCACACAATTACATTGCACTGTAATCGTTGTGTGTTAAAAGCATTAATTTGCTAAGTGTAAACAATTGAAACATACCTTGGTTTTGTAACCCTCTCGACATTCCAGCATGCTTGAGTAGACTGGGGGCTTGAGAAAAGGAAGTCTCCAGCCCTCTCTCAACCTCTGAAAAGCCTGGCTAACACCCAGGTTCCTGGGGGGTGCTGGAGGGAATCTCTCAGGCGCGTGAATTGGTGTCTTTCTATATTTATAGTCTCTAACCATCTTTCCCGTGTCTGCAATCAGCTTCTCACTCATGTGACATGGCTATTCTAAACTTTACTGCTCTCCACATCATGGTTATTCATCATCCACTTACCCTTTAGAAAATCACATCACCTCCAACTACTCAGAGAACGGAGACCGCCATGCACAAAAGCCCCACAAATCTTCCCCTGAACTTACAGAAACCCACATACGAGACGTGGCTTGCACATGTACATTTTTTTTGGAAAGAGCAGTCCAGTCCACATGCTTGCTTTTCACTTCCTCACCTTTTATTCATTTACCCTCTGACTCAACACATCCAAAATTGAACTCTTTACCTCTACCCTCTTCCACCTCCAACCACACACACACCCTCCCAAGCCACATCCTCCTTCTGATTCACCATCTCAGTTAATAGCATCATGATCCACTCCCTTATTCAAGCCATAAGCGTGTCCTCTTAATCACTTCCCTTTACCATAAATTACATACAGCCAGTTAATAATTTGTGTTGTTCTTTCAGATCTCTGAAGGTCTGCTGCCCAGCTCCATGCCCATTTCTACTTTACTTCCCATCCATTTTTACAGAGCTTCCGGAATCATGTCCCTGCTTCTAGTTTTGCGTGGCTCCTTCTAGTTTTACGTGGCTCCTAGTTTTACGTGGCTCCATCAGACTTCTACTCTGATATCAGAGTGATCTTTCTAACATGCGAGTCTGATCAGGGTGTGAAACCATTCAAGACAAATTCATGGCATATAACCTTAACCATGCTAGTCCTTGCTTCTCTCCTCAATTGATCTCTTGCAACTCACCTATAAGTGTTATGTTTTCCCGGCTTATTGAACCACTTGTGATTCCTTGAATACGCCACTTTCCCTCTCATCCTTTGCCTTCTGAAGATGCTGTTCTTGCTGTTTGAAACCCCCTTTTCACCTGGTTTCCCTTGTACTCAACCTCCAACCTCTGTACCTACTCTAACAAAAAGCCTCCTTGCTTTCCCCTTCTCAGTGGTCCATACCCCACACACCCGGTGAGAGGCTTCTTTTCGGGGCTTACATAATTCACCCACCTCCTCCATCATGGCACTTACCATAGTTTGTTGTGATTGTTTGTGTGTCTGTGTCCCCAATACCACGCTGGGTCTCCCATCTCTTTGTCCCCGTGCCAGCAATGTTGACAATAGGTTCTCAGCAAACACAGAAGACAAGGAGAGGAGGAAGGTGAGGAGGTACCCCAGAGCCCAAGAATAGAGGTATGGGTTTGAACGGCAAACAACTAACTTGCTGCCATGATTCCAATTTTGAAAATTCATTCCATTTCCACAGGCCACACAGATGTTTCTCAGTCATATACTTCTAAGACTTCACAACATTTTTTAAAAAAATATATTTTATTGATTTTTCACAGAGCAGAAGGGAGAGGAATAGAGAGTTAGAAACATCAATGAGAGAGGAACACCGATCAGCTGCCTCCTGCACACCTCCCATTGGGGATGTGCCCGCAACCCAGGTACATGCCCTTGACCGGAATCGAACCTGGGACCCTTCAGTCTGCAGGCCGACGCTCTACCCACCGAGCCAAACCAGTTAGGGCAAGACTTCACAACATTTAATAAATTGCTTGAGTTTTAGAATGTTCTTGATGGAATAAAAGTAACAGTTAACATTGGGTCAGACGTGCTGAGTGCTCTAAATGGAATATCCCATTTAATCTTTATAATAATTTTTTAAAGTTAAAATTAAAAACAACCTCTTATAGCCCTGCAGTGTGACTCAGTGGTTGAGCATCAACCATGCACCAAGAGGTAGCCTGTTCAATTCCCGGTCAGGGCACATGACCCTCAATCCCCAGCAGGAGGCAGTCAATTGATGTTGATGTTTCTCTCTTATTGATGTTTCTCTCCCTTTCCCTCTCTCTCTCAAGTAAATAAAAATACACTTTTAAAAACAACAACAAAAACCTCTTATAGATAAGGAAACTGAGGCACAGAGAGTTAAATAACTTGCCCAAAGTTGTACCGCTAGTATGTGATAGGACTGAATTTGAATCTACATTTCTGATTCCAGAGCTCAAATGCCCCATCAGGAACATTATATTTAATTTCAGACAGTTCAAAAAGGTTATTCACAAATGTATGCATGTAGGTTACAGGGGTATAGAAACCCTGTCATGTAAGGAGTATTTTATCAACCAACAAATGCTGGTTTAGAGTTATGAAGTCTTGATGTTAAATATTGAGGACAAAGCTAGGTTGATCTCTGGAAAGTCAGATTGAAAGTGTGAAGAGACAGTCTTTCATTCCAAAGGAGTTTAGAAAAAAATTAATGGACAATATACTTTTTAGGGGTTTTCATGCTGCAAGGGACATAGGTTACCTCAGTTAAGGAGGCTCTACCTTAAGAATTCACAGAAAGGGAGCCCAGCCGGTGTGGCTCAATGGTCGTGTCAACTTAAAAACCAGGAGGTCACTGTTTGATTTTCAGTCAGAGCACATGCCTGGGTTGCGGGTTTGATCCCTAGTGGGGGACATGCAGGAAGCAGCTGATCAATGATTCTCTCAACATCATTGATGTTTCTCTCTCTCTCCCTTCCTCTCTGAAATATATATAGATATGTATATGTATACACACACACACACACACACACACACACACACACACACATATATACACATATATACTAGTATATATACTAGAGGCCTGGTGCACAAAATTCATGCACTTGAGGGAGGAAGTCCCTCAGCCTGGCCTGCACCCTCTCACAGTCCAGGAGCTCTTGGGGAATGTCCGACTGATGGGAGCGGGCCTAAGCCGGCAGTCGGACATCCTTAGCACTGCTGCAGAAGCGGGAGAAGCTCCCACCACCACCGCTGTGCTCACCAGCCGTGAGCCCGGCTTCTGGCTGAGCACACTGACCACCGGGGGAAGCTCCTGCATTGAGAGTCTGCCCCCTGGTGGTCAGTGCACATCATAGTGACCGGTCGTTCCGCCATTGGGCCAAAACAGGCTCTCCAACATCCACCGAGCGGTCCCGGACTGCGAGAGGGTGCAGGCCAGGGCGAGGGACCCCACCGGTGCACAATTGGGGCCGGGGAGGGACACGGGAGGTTGGTCAGCTGGGGAGGGAGAGTGGGAGGGCTTCAGGGTGTGTCCGGCCTGTCTCACTCAGTCCCAATTGGCCAGACCCCAGCAGCAAGCTAACCTATCAGTTGGAGTGTCTGCCCCCTGATGGTCAGTGCACATCATAGCAAGCAGTTGAGCTGCTTTAGCATATCATTAGCATATTATGCTTTGATTGGTTGAACGGCCAACCAGATGACTGGACACTTAGCATATTAGGCTTTTATTATATAGGATAAAAGGCTAATATTCCAAGTGTCCTCTCAGGAGTTCGACTGGGAGACCAGGTCGCTCGCTATGATGTGTGCTGACCACCAGTGGGCAGTGCAGAATGAAGGAAGGCCCCGGCCGGCAGCTGACAGCCAGGAAAGGTAGGTCCTGGCTGGCAGCTGGAAGGCCCTGATAGGCCCTGATTGCTGGCCAGGCCTAGAGACCCTACCCATGCATGAATTTTGTGCACCGGGCCGCTAGTATATATATATTCACAGAAAGGGAGAAACAGTCCTAGCATGTGGAGCTGGGCTTCGTGGATCTCTATGTCTTGCTCGGGATTCCCTGAAGTTCTAACCACATTGGTGGTGATCTCCCAAACCCCTAGAATCAATTACTCTCTGTAAGTTCCCCTGTCAGAGTGATCCACTACTGGGACTCGGCTTCCCTTCCTGCTAACACTGGAGAAGTCCCTGTCTCTCTTACTCATGATTGTGTTCACTCATGGCTTCAATAGCCTCAAAGCTTCTGCTTATTCCCTTCTGTTTCTGGATCTTCCTACTCTCTGCGAGCT